TCCATCAGGATTAAAGGATTAACGAAGAAATTAATAAAGAAAATCAAAGTTGAAAATAGTACGTCAGGAAGAAAGAAATTAATAAAAAAGCTAAACTTTTGGAGTCAAGCACGATTCGAGCTAATTCATCCACCAGTCGAGAAATCATTTGAAAATTAAAGAAACTAAAGAAACTAAATTTTTCAAGTCCGTCTGAAGTTGATCCATCAGGGTTAGAGGATTGTCATCCATCAGGATTAAAGAATTAACGAAGAAATTAATAAAGGGAGTCAAATTCAATTCGGATGTGCTAGATACGTCACTGCGGTGTACCCATACCTCATCGCGTCCTCATCCACGCCTGCGTTCTCCGTTCTCGAGTACCTCTCAACGTCGAGCTGACACCAGCCACTCGATCGATAAATTCAGGAACCTGACGCTATATTGATTTCCAGGGGATTTTCCAGGGGTTAATTTCAGCTTGAAAATTCCGGGATTCTGTGGCCGGGGCTGCTGCATTAGGCATGCTCAGTCCAGGCAGAAGTTATTGATCTGTTCGGAAATGGGGTGAAGCTTGGCGCGCCTGCGTCGAATATGGGCGTTCAATAAATTTCAAAACGCATCTGCGCATTTGTTTCGATCAATACAAGAACATTCTCTAGAACATTCTCTATTTGAGAATGAGGTTGTTGGATATTATTAGTAAAATTAGTAATAATACGCTTTAATCATTTAAACCGATTTGAACATTTAACAATTTACGAACAAAAGAATATTTTGGAAGACTTAGAACGAAAGAATGTTTCAGAAGACTTAAAACGGAAGAATATTTGTTGATAAACGATAATAGACAACGATTTCTGTAACTGAGAGATGTATATTTTTTTACGCCTCCCTGCTAATGGACAAAAAGATAAATAAATTTAACACCCTGACGTATTATTCTAAATATACGTTTAAATACACTTGGTTACGTAGAATGCAACATGTGGGCGTTTCCCCTTTGGATAGAATGGATCGTTTATATTTCTTTTATCGTCCCATTTCCTTTTCTAGAATTGAATTATTGCAATTTATTTCATACGCGTTCGGTAGCATCGTGCACGATGGTTTGATAGCATTTGATAACGATTGTTTTGCTTTGCGATAAATGCTGGTGTATAAACATGACGTAACACGCGTACATTTGAAAATTCGTTCGTTTTTTATCATTCCTATGCTATCGGAATCAATCAATTAGATGGTAACTCATGACTGACTTTCTGTCATAATCTTCTTCTTATCTTCTTAAATTTCTTCCCAAATTTGTACACAATTTTGTACATTTTTTTGTTAATTAAACGTTAAATTACAATTTTACAATGTTTTCTAATGTCGTTGATTTCCATTGTACAATTTGTTACAATTTTTACAACGTTTTATAATGTCGCGGCCATAATAATGTTACAACATTTACTAAAGTACGAAGATCAAAGCTTACGTTTTTTTTTTTTTCTATGCCTCGACATTGTTCATATCGTTATTATCAGCAGTTTGCCGTTGCAAATTGTAACAGCTCGCGCGACGAGAGCAATTTTCAGCTGGCGTTATAAATAGACCGGCAGGGGTGCAGATGCAACGTTTGGAAACGATTCGGAGAAATACGCCGCGTGCTTTATCTTTCCGTTCTAATGTCAATGTGACAGTGATTTCACGTGTGTTATCGCCTGCGAAATTGCACGCGTACGCGGATCTTTTCGGAGAACGTTGCTTCTCGTTTCATCGACAGTCCCTCCCCTTTCGTTCGTAGAAATTCACGGTAGCAGCATAAAGTAAATTTCAGAAGCACAGAGAGTTGAGAAAAGAAACTAACATCCTGGAAAAGACATCGCAGTGACGGAGAATTGAGAAAAGAAACTAACATCCTGGAAAAGACAGTGACAGAGAATAGAACACGAGATTGCCAAAGGAAGAATTCTAACTATAGAAAAGGGCACAGGGTGAAGACAGGAAAAATAAACGAATGAGGAAAAGAGTACGAAAGAAGAAAGAACTAAAATGCAAATAAAAGCTAAGGTGCTACTTATACTGGATGCGATAAAATAATGAAATCTCGGATCGCTTTCCTCGATTCATTCGCTTCTGTCAACGTGATCGATCATAACTTTGACCGATTTTACGACTTTCCCACATCGTTACCTTAATTACACCGATCGTTAGCATCATCGTACTTAATCCTTGCTCACATACCGTGAAGTGAAATCAATTTCAACGTCGCTTTACGCCTCGTTGATCACGCTAACTTTACGCTGCGTTTATCTTCTTAAAATTCATTCGAAAAGTGTCAAACTTCAAAGTGCGAATTAATTGTTAACCCTTTATACTCGACTGTCCCTTCTGAGGGGACATCGTACTTAAATCTAGCCAACAGCTCTCGGACTCCCTCTTTTTATAATTTGCCGATAATTATAAAAAGACGTGTACATTTGGTTGCGACGTACGATAGTATGACATCTTACGCCTAGAAGAGCAAAAGAAATTCAGAAAGAAGAAATTTCTAAGTCAATTGACACTCAATAATTTCAATTTAATTCACATAATTTGGAATAATTCGCGTAAAAGTAGACTTCTTATTTCTTCTTACGAAAGTTCAAAACGGTATGGCGAAGGATATTATTTTTCCAGAGATTGGAAACTGTATCGTTAACTTTTGTATATTATACTTGCGCCAGCAAACCCGCTTTGGAATTTAAACAATATCACGTGTTGGAAAGGTGAAGTCGACGAAATTTCGGCGTTAAGTATCATCTTAATTATTTATAATGCTGTATGTATGATTTTATTTAAAGCGATGCTTCGTAAATAAATTGCTGGCAGATGATACATACGAGAAGAAAGAAATGTTTTCGAGGGCAAAGGGTTAACAATCGAAACGCCAGTTCTCGGTTCTCGGTATTTAGATAAATTTCGAGATGAAAGGAACAAGGATCGGTCGGGGAATTTGCCGGACAGATTTCCAAAGGGATTACGAAACAGCTACAAGTGTCGGTGAAACGTTTATGGTTTCCCCTATTGTGCTGTCCTTCCGTTATGGGAAGGGGGGACGTCACTTCGAAGGCAAAGATCGAGGAAAACCGGTTCGGGAACTGTCGGCTTTATCATCCTCCTGTGCCGGTATCCTCAATATATCCTCCAACAGACTAATTCGTAACTTATAACACGAGAATTCCGACTCGGCTCCCTTGAAAAAGTCCTTGGAAGGCCCTCTTAAGGTTCTTTGAACCCTCGTTTTAGTTTCTTTTTACACGCACGTGAAACTTGAAACTTGGGATCAGCTGCGTTGAGAATGTAAATCTTCAAAGTCAGTCATTGTCAAAGATATTATCGGTTAATCGTCACGAGGTTATAAATTAGACGAGAGTTACAGAAATACCCGTGTGAATTGAAATTGAATTTTAAAACTCCTGATAGTGGAAAAATTCTGGACAGTTAAAATATAAAATTCATAGCAATGAAATCAAAGCGCAAAATACACGGAAAAATTTACGATACGTAGAAGACACGAGCTTCTATTTATATATATATTTTAGTAAAAATCATTCAAATCTCTGCAAAAATACGTCGAAAGTTCTATAGAAAATTATGAATTGATCAGTTTGGTAATCCTAGTATTGAAAAGCTCAAAAGGAAATTACAATCAATATATATATTCGAGTGCACATATACTACGGATGGATGAGTGAAATAAAGGATCACAGGATATAGATTCTTCAAGAATTTGTTTCGTCGAATAGAGTAGTTAGTTCGTAGCTGGTTAACATGTCATTTGAGTTACCTTCTGTTTTCCTCGGTCGGATCTTCCGGCGACGGTGGCGTCACGATGAACGATGGCTCCTTCTGAATAATTACTTCCGGCTGTAGATGGATCGTGTGTCGTTTTTGATGGAGTTCCTTACAAGAGGTTGAAGAGGATATGCCGTTTCTCTTTCGGCGACGGCCACTGGCGCCTAGATTTTGCAGGGTGCCCATAGATGGAAACCGGAAGCTCCATGCTATGCCTGAGGAACATATTATTGTGTTAGAGCCATAAACAGGCTCTCAACTTTGACAACCATTCGAACACTTTACTTCTTTAAATATTTCTCGAAGTGAACTTTAGAAACAGCGGCGAAAAGGAAGAAGAAAATCTCAATTTTAAATTACTGAAATCCTCTCGAGGTTATTTAGTGAAAGCATTCATCACCAATTTTGGCTGTGAAATTTGGAAAACGATTGGAAAGTGAGAGCAATCAACCCTGGCGAAAGAAACATCTCTCAATTTGCACTCACAGCTATTGTACATTCCTCAGTGAATCGTGAATTTCTGTGAACCTAGTCTTATTGCAATCTGTCATTTCATCAGGGGTACAAATTCTCATTTCTCATAGGAAATGAATCAAATTCCCTTGTCTGACATCAAAAATCCATAAAGAAACTTAAGTTTCATCCGTTATTCGACAAAAACAAATATCTTGCAGTGTAGAGTGGCTACAAAAGAAATTTGAATATATCTTATTGTGTAGCATTTACGTACTACTTGACACTAGAATTAACGACGAGTAATAAAGCATAGAATTTCCATTAAAGACCACTAAAGTTAAAAACATTAGCTAACATCACGACACAATGTGCAATCTTAAATTTATACATATTTAATCATTTAAATCTCAAAATTACTAAAATCGTGTACTCTACAATTGCTACAGTGTAAAAACACACTGTTTTGTATCTACAAAATTTCTAATGAATATTCTAGTGTTAATATTCGTACCATTTAAAAATATTTTCAATTTTCCAAATAATTTCGCGCTGTTTTCATACTAAAATAATTTAGTACTACGATAATGAAATGCAAAAATTACTGGGCTGAATAGTAACCTCTTCGTGCCTGCTGTTTTTGATATTTTTAATAGAAATCTTTGTTACGTATTCGAAGTTAGATTCTCGTGTCGTATCGCGAAAGATTCCCAGAGATTTTCGAGAGGTCGTATCGTATAAAATTCCGAGTGTGAGCAAGTGTTGTTATTTTCTTTCTTTCTGGAAGAGAGTGCATCGACGCGAAAATTTTTCAATTCGGATTTGTTCATAATCCTTCATTCCCGATACTCACGCATGCCGGTATTTTTCCTTGCGCGATCCTTATCGCTCACGATCATCGCAATTCACTCGCGGCCGAATCTTATCACGTTCAATTGTTTACGTATAGTCGCTGTTAAACGTATGAACCACTGTGCGAATTACTTGAACGAACGAGAGCGTTTAAAACCGCTGGGCTCGTTGGATCTGCTATCGCGTGCAGAGATTCCAGTGCCCCTCCATCACGATCACACCGAACGGTTTTATCGGGACTCGTACACAAACGATCGGTGCAGTTAATGCTTTTATCTGGACTCTTCTTTCGCCTGTCAACGAGGGAAGCCTCGACCGTGGTCGTCCTGTTACAGACTTTTATCAAGGCGTTTCTTTATTCGATTTTAGCCAACTATTCTGGTTGAAAATTCGTCGTGAAAAAAAAAAAAAAAAAATTGTCAGCCAAGATGTCCCTGCGTGTTTTAACGTGTGCTTCCAATTTCGAATTTTCTTAGTTTCGTTTGCAGAGATAGACCTATTCCTCGCATCTGTGTTCACAGAGAAAGAACGTTAAAATACCTTCTGTCTCTATATGGATACGATTACATACTCGACGTCTCGTTTCTTCCTTACGCAGGCCACATCCTCTGCATGTGCATTTTTCACTATCTATTCATACTTATATCCCTCCACTACTCTTAAGTTGATGCCATTTCAAACGACCTAACCGTTCACTTTACCATTTCTAAACAGCGATCGATTCACCTGCCGTTCGTCAGTTCTAACGATCACACAGCATCTGGTTTTCGTTTCGATCGTTTACTACGTATGTGTTATACATTAGGAACGGGTTAGATTTCGTTTTTTTTTTTTTTTTTTTGAGAAACGTAGCTCAATACATTCCGCGTTGGAATCACCGCCGTCGCGTTCACGGAGAACACGAAACAAACCACGCTCGTTATCCAAGTCCTGGAATCTCCTTATCTCGATTGCTCGTCACTTAGATCCAACTTGGAAATCGTTTCGCGCGTGTCGCACGCGGCAAATTTCGTTCCCTGTTCCATCGTACGTGCATCTTCGCCAGCGTGATCGTGCCCACGGATCGTTGGAACAGAGTTGGCCAGAAACTGAAGTGTTCGGCTCACTTTCGCTTCGATTCGTTTATCTTCGCTCGCCTTCACGCGCGCCGATGTAAACCTGTTCTTCTCGAGCCTTTCCAGCCGCGAATGGGGCACGGGACCCCCGTGCCTTCCCCCCCGTTAAACTCCGCGATTTTTCTAGACAAGACCAGAAGGTGCTGCTCCTCATTCTCGGTTTTTCCGGTATGTAGGCGGCCACGACAGAGCAAATCGGTAATTATCCCGGTGTCGCGTGACTCGCGGCATGCATTCTTCGACGCAAGGAAAGCGTACCTGCTTCAGAACATTAGCAAACGCTCGTTCCGCTCTATTTTCTGGAACACGGAGGTATCAGTTGTGCATGTAACGCGCGAATGTTTCCTGGAATCGTTTCGTGGAAAGGACGCTTGAAATATTTAGAGAGGATTTTGCCAGGATTTATCTGTAAGATTCTCATTTCTCAAATGGTATTTGCAACAAATGTTTTCTTTTAAAGAAGCTGGTCAATTCTGTAGGTTGAAATATAAAGGAGAAATATAATGTTGCAAACATTATATTTTAAATTTTCTTTGTAACAATTTCTATGTATTTCCAATCGGTTTCAAACGATCGGTTTTACAACAGACTCAAACGAGTGATATTTATTGATATTTGAACCTCGCGATAGCAACACTTTTCACGTGTTACATTATATACATTTTCAACATGTTGTCATTCCTTAACGTTGTTGTTCATCTTTTGCGAGAAATAAAAAAAGAAATATTCGCGAAGAATAATTTCGAAACGTTCTTATCTCTGCTGACGTGCACAACACAGACTCGCCTTTATTGTAAATACATATACGGCTGACGTGTACGATTTAGCAAACGAAATTTCAATACTTGCACGTGAAACGGCAATGTTTCAACACGAGGGGAACAAATTGATCGTTTGGATAAATTTCTTAGTGACGGACGTGCATCATCCGATCGCGATAAGAACAGGGGACGTGACTAAAAATTCTTCGAGCTCGAAATGTCAGCGATAGATCAACGCCGGCAGGGACAATGGACCATTCATCCCGACAATATACGCGTTTATCGTTTCCTTTCAATCAGCGAATCTGCATAATCGAGTTTAATGTACTTCATTCACAATTCGCCGAAAACGCTGTCGCGGAACTGTAAGAAAATCTTTCTTTCTATCGTGTGTTATTATCGACAGCCCTTTCTTTCTCTGATAGAAAAGAAGGCACATCTCCTCTCGACAGTTATTATATTTATTATACTTTAAATTATATACAGAGTGTTTCGTAATTTGTGGGACCCACTTCGGGAGCTGATTGTACGCTTAAAAATAATGGAAAAGAGTCATATAAATATATGTCTTATCTGTCTTCGTTTATGAGATATAATGAATTTTCTGTTTTCATTACTTTTACAAAAGATGCTCAAAATGACCACTTTGCACACGAAGACAAGTCTGCACGCGTCTTGTCATTGATCAATGATTACTCTCTCTATTATTCCTGGTGTTTCTCGAATTTGTCGGAAGCCTTGCTCTATTCTATTTCGTAGTATTTCAGCATGTTCAATCGATGTTGCGTATACGATAGAGTTTAAATGTCCTCACGAATGAAAATCTAATAGATTTAAATCCGAAGAACGAACAGGCCATGCAATAGGACTTCCACGACCAATCCATTTATTTGTAAAAGTATTGATTTAAAAATTGCCTAGCCACTCGGCTAAAATGCGGCGGAGCTCCATCATGCTTAAACCGCATACAAAGTCTAATATCGACTGGAACTTTCTCTAATATTTCGTGTACTTTGTGCCTGTTAGTTTCCCATCAAGAAAAAAAGGTCCAATTAAAAATTTATCAATTATTCCTGCCCATACGTTTA